AGTTAGGACAATAAATATGGTAAAAGTGTATACTTTTATAAATTATTTTTTTATAAATTATTTTTACATTGCAAATCTAATCTGCTGTTTTAATTCTTTAAAATGATTTAGAATGCACTCATCTTTGGAAAATGAAATAGAACGTCTGGAGCCCACTTCATCGTTATGGAAATGGAGGCATGAAGAACTGAGAGAATCAAGCCCAACGGCTCCAACAGAGGTGCTGGGACACGGGTGCGCAGGGGAGCGAGGCTGCATGGGCAGCCCGGGGGCAGCAGGCAGTGTTCTCCACAGGGAGCCCTGGTGCGGGGGTTAAACACTAGAGATTCTGAATAAGGTGAATATTGGAACTCACATACAAGGGGGCTCCAAAAAGTTCCTGAAAATATTCACTAGCTTTTGATTCTGTTTTTCTACGATTTTTTGAAGGTCCTTGATAGTAATAGTATGGAGGCCTGGTCACATAGTGGGTCATATGTTGGGCTGCTAAGCACAAGGTCAACAGTTCAAAAGTACTACTAGATGCATCACATTCAAAATATGAAACTTAGTGCTTTAAAGATCTACAGCCCAGGAAACCCACAGCGGCAGTTCTTCTCTGTCTCATGGGGTCGCCTTGAGCCAGAATTGACTCAATGGCAGTGAGTGAGTGCATCCGTAGTTAGTAGGCTAAGAGTAACCGAGAAAAGCTAACTGGTTGTGTGTAAGTTTACGCTATAAGGACCCTAGTTGTACTGAATCCATATTTTTAAAATGAGGACTTGTTGCTTAATAAGAACAAATCCTCTTCACTCTGCTGCAGCATATGCTTAGCAAATCCAATGCTAATCATTCATTAAGCTGTGCCAAATGACTAATTTTATGAAACACTGCCTGAGCGAATTGAACTTTCCCCAGATGTTTTAGAAGAATATTTCGTGACTATGGGACTGCCTTTTAAGGACCAGTTGCTCTTCAGTTGAGAACAAATCACTCAGCAAGTTTTTAAAATAAAAACAAATAACATCAAAACACAGCTGAATGATGTCTCTTGTGCACCGAGACATTGTGTTCAAATGCACACTTATTTTAAATGATCAATCTCACCAAACCAAACCCACCGCTATTGAGCTGATTCCAATACAAGGTGAACCTCCAGGCCAGAGCACAGCTGTCCGCAGGCTTCCAGGGCTCTGATCGCTCAGAAACAGGAGAGTACTTTGTCTTTCCTGCGAACAGACGCTGGTGGGGCCCAACTGCTGAACTTCTTCAGGTTGCAGCTCAGTGTTTGCCACCAGACCACCGGAGGCAATGCTATTTCATTCCTGATGTATCGGTTGGTGCCTATTGAGGTTCTTTGCATCATCAGCATTAAAATTGTTCAGGATTGGTGGTTTATCTTTTTAAGTTTCTCTTGCCTGTGGGGTTAAGGGTAAGAGGGAACCCCACAAAACATCACAGGTTTGGTAGGCGCAATTGTACAGCGATAATAAGTAGAGATTATAGTAAAGTCATAGAGAGCATGAGAGTTAAAGGATAGAGTCAAGTAAAGGAGTCAGACGCAATTCATGGTAGCGTATCTCACCTCCACCCGGCTTGATGGTCCTCGTGGAGGGGGCTTAGCTGTCAGAGAAGAAGCCGCTGCTTCGTCCTCCTTAGTCACCTTCTCCAGCCACCCTCCTGAGTACCAGGGAGCCTTGTTATTTATTGCTAACCACGCATCATAATCATACATCACAGAAAGGGGCAATACAATTCATTCTAGAACAAGTTTGATCA